AGTAGTAGTAGTAGTAGCGGTAGTGGAAGCAATAGTAGCAGTAGCAGCAATAGTAGCAGTAGGAGCAGTAGTAGTGGTAGTCGTCGTCGTCATCGTCGTCGTCGTAGTAGTAGGAGCAGCAGCAGCAGCAGCAGCAGTAGTAGCAGCAGTCGTGGTGGTGGTGGTGGTGGTGGTCGTCGTCGTCGTCGTAGTAGCAGCAGCGGTCGCAGTAGCAGCAGCGGCAGCAGTAGTAGTACTAGTAGTAGGAGAAGTAGAAGTAGAAGTAGAAGTAGAAGTAGAAGTAGAAGTAGAAGCAGAAGCAGAAGCAGAAGCAGAAGCAGAAGCAGAAGCAGCAGTAGCAGTAGCAGTAGTAGTAGTAGTAGTAGTAGCAGCAGCAGCAGTAGCAGCAGTAGCAGCCATAGTAGAAGTGGCAGTGGTAGTAGGATAGTTGTAGTAGTTGTAGTTCTCAATACTGTAGTAATTGATTTTCACGGTTGCAGCTCTGATTGTCTGATTGTTTGATTGTCAAACTAGTTGTCCTGCTGCTGCTTGTGATGTTCGGCGGGCTCTGGCTGGCCCCAGTCCTCTGCCAAGCGGCTGGCGACGGCAGCCTCGGTGCTCTAGGTGGGCTAAAAGACCGAGGTCTTTGTCATCGGGGTACCTTGCTGAAAGCCTGTAGGGGTGTGGTCCCAAAAACAGATCCTGAGGCCCTACGCCCCAGGCATGAACAAGGCCTGCTTGTCAACGAGGGACAGCGTGATGAAGCGAGAGAGCTTCGTCACTGACACCAAAACCATGAGGATCCCGGCAAGCATCACCTGAGCGAACATGATGCACAGGCACGCGTGCTTCGGCGCTCACACTCGGACACTCCAGGCGAGGCATATGTTTCGAGGTCTTACGGATGTAAAACAGACAGGTTTCGTATTGTGGGGGATCTCAACACATTTGCACCCCATAAGATCTCAACCTGCTAAAGAGAAAGACGACCCTCACTGTCTCCTTGGTTTCGACACTCACACTCGCACGCAGCAGGCAAGGCTCTGGTTTAAGGTCTAGCGGTTGTCAGGACGGGATCAGCACTGCAAGGATGACAACTGCCGGATGGAGTTGCCCCACCATGGATTCCGGTGTCTATATGTATTCCTGAAAGATGCACTATCACGCCTTCAAAGCTACCGCATTCAATCCAGAATCCATCTAAGCCGAATACACCCTAGGCCTTTAATCTCTACAATAAGCTCCGGGACTCTTGCATTCTAAACTTCTATACCCTCCACCGATCCTGCCCAATTCATCGCAAGCTGCTGAGGGGAACAACAGCTCAACGCCCTCGCCGTTGTTGCCGGTGCCGGCCGGTGGGATAAAGGTTCCAATCTCGGAAAGATGGACAAGTCCGGATTCACACCCCACTTTGGGCTCAGGGCTCGGGATTGCAGAGAAGTTTGAAACGCTGAGTTTTTCAATCGTTCGTGATCGTCTCCCATAGTTCTAGAATTAAGGTGAACTTTAGCTTTTGGTCGGTCGTGCAGGTCTGAGGCGTCATGCCGGTGCAACCTGGGGCTTAGCACTGAGCCTTATACACCGTTCCACTTTCCCCTCGTCTTGCAACGCATCAGGGGGAAGAAGGATTGGAGCTCTCGTCGGCCATGCAACGGGGATTCCTCCTGAAGCACAGAGGGCTCCATCAAGTCCGGACCCTCTTTTAAGCCTTCACAAAGCCTTCTTGAGGTCCGGGCGATGGCCGCAAAAGCGCCGGTCGCACCTGCTGGCAGTCAACAACCCCTGTTTACGTCTTTACCTCTTGCATTGCACGCCCTGCACCCACAGCTGGGTGTCTGTTTACCATATTTTTGGAAGAAATACAACAAAGGGACCCAGGGGGGGAACATTCCCAACGACCAAGACACGCAATAAACGCATGCCTCTCAGCAGCTATGGGAACAAAAATGCAGCAACATCATTTCTTGCACTGCAGAGACAGGGCCAGTGCAAGTGTCGGTCATTGCAAGGGATCAGCCATCGCCACGGCAAACTCAATGTCTCGAAGCCCCAAGCAACTCAGCACGGCACCATTGACCATGCCGGGCCGTCCACCGAAAGCGCTGCAAATGAAACCTTGCGAGGTGCATGAAAGCAGATGAAGGTGCTGCCGGTTCTGCTGCAGAGGAAGAGCGGTACTGCTGAATTTATAGGGATGTTGCGCAGAAGGATGTACGGCTTCAATAACCCCTACCCTCACGGGTCGCATGTTAAAAGCAGGTGCGCTGCAGCACGTTTTCGGCGTTCACTTCACACTCAGCTGGGAGGACTGGTTTTCGCCAAGCTCCGGCAATCCGGCAGGGTCTGGACATGCCGGAGGCTCACGACGAAACAGCACCCAAAGCTTGAATCAGCTCAGGTTAGGACCCAGCTCCCACTCACTTCAGTCAAGCGGCCAACTATCCATGCGGCATGCAGGGCAATCGGGGGCTTGATGTTGGCCTTGCAACAGAGGTTGTGCAATACCTCGAAACACTTGGGAATGACTACTGGCACGATCACTCACGTTCGTTCACAACAGAAACGCTCACGTGGCAGAGAACGCCAAATTTCGGACACTATCGAAGGGACAATCTGTGCATTTAGATGCCAAAGCAAGCAGGCTCGGGGGCCCTAGGTGTGGTTTTGCAGGCAAAAGAATGCACGCTCTTCACGCTGTCCAGCCCCAAATGCAAGATTGATTCTGCACAGCCGTGTGGGCAGGTGGCTTCCATTCTGCTGCCAGCCGACTGCAGCTCAAGAATAAGTAAGGCCTTGTCAATGCGCACAGTCGAGGCCTTCAATTCGAAACGTCTCCCTCGAAGTCCTCCACCATCTTTTCCACTTAAACCACTCGAATCACGCCAGCACATAGGAGAGTTTCAGAAAAACAAGGGGACCCCAATAAGAATATAAACCCTAAACTAAACGATCGGATCCTTACCTTGTTTACACTAAAGACCCCTACGCCAAGCACCCCCCCTTTTTACGAAACTGCCAGATCTGAGAGCAGCTCCATGAATGCAAAGGCCACCTCAGAGCGGCAAAAGAAATCGCGAGGATTTGGGTTCGATGTTGTTTCGGTTTAGGGCTTGCGGTGGCCACTCGCACCACTTCGGGTATTTAGGAAGTTAGATAGTTAGATTAAGGTCATAAGACTAGACTCCTGGGAGTTTCCAAGGGCCCGGAGAAGGCATGGTGGGGATCTTTCGGGTTCAACCTGGAGGCTTGGGTGTCTGAGGCCTGACTGAGCTCAGCAAGTATTGAATTTGGATCGTGCGGCATGAACTCGAAACGGGGGTCAGAACAGTCCTGCAAGGGCATGAAGCCTGCAGGCCGGAGGTGTCTCTGAAACTGAAGCTGCACAGTGCTGTATGACGGCAACGCCCACGCAGCTCGCAATTAAGAACTGAACAGGATATGTTCGTTAAGTCCCTTGGCCACAAGACCTCCACTTTAAGGCCATGTGGTCGACTTGCATCCAAATCATCTTACCAGGCCGAGAGGCAGATTCGGGGATTTGCGCAAAGCAGATCGTCACACCTCAAGGCCACAAGGGTTAAAAGCCAAACAGCTGTAGAGGCTTCAGGTTTCAAGCCAAGGGTGCCAGCGTTTGACGCCCCCAACATCCCCAAACCAATCATCTCCAGCCCTACAAAGTTCACACTGGGCTCTTACTTTGCACCCCATCTGCGAGACAACCTGTCTTTAACAGCTTGCAAGGGTCCGGCCTGTCAGTAAGTAGACAATTGCATGTCCAAGTAATGTAGGAGAAATGGAGGATTGCAACAGAGATAAGCAACTCCTCACGCACGGCAACAGTATCTGCAAAGCTTGATCAGCAGTGCTAGTGTGCACGTTGCAACATCATCGGCAGAGGTGAGGCGGTCATGAACTCGTCCTAGGGCCCTCAGACTACTGAAACATTGTTGTGCAGTTGTGCAACAGTGTCCCTAACTCCTTCAGAAAGCCTTCGCCCCGAGCACTGAATTCCACCCAGACGAACTCAAGACCCCCATCGAATCGACGGAGAATACCCAAGCAAGGATGGCTCCTGAGGCTTCGAGGAGCTATGAAAGTCTAGACAGAGCTGGCTCTCACAGCCAGTCTTAAGACAACCCAGGTCCTAAAGATTTCTAATCATAAGGGTTTTGAACCAACCCAGACCTGCTGAAGATGCTGCCAACCTTTGCCGAGAGGCCGAGAAGCACCTCTCGGATGACGTATTCTGTGGACAAGCCTTCACCTGACGCTCTCTTGATTGATTCTCACGATCTGCTTAGGGGGTTACTGAGCGACTATGACTAAGAGAATTTTTCATGTTGCAGAAGCTGCTGTGTGCATGCTGTCACGGTGCCAAACCGTACATTCTTATGCAGTACAGCAGGAGGTAGCAGCAGCAGATGGCAGTGGTGCAGCAGCAGCTGTCTCGTCGCGGACGAAATAGACGTAGAAAAAGAAAGAAAGGTAGCGAGAGGAGGTGCAGTGGTGGTCGCTCTAGGCATACCAGTGAAATTCAGCCGAACGGTTGAAGCAGTGTAAAGACGCTGCATGCGACCACTGTGGAAGACTAACTGTTTGTGTGAAAACTCTCGATAACAAAAGCTGGCCATGGTATACTGTTTCAGCTTCAAATTATTCCAGCAACATCTACTCTCGTAGGCTACCCCATACATGCCACCGATCACCATCATGATCACTTCCGTCGTCCTCACATTCTGACTTCTTCGCACCAAGTAAAATCAGGAGCTGCAGAGCATCAGTGCACTTCAACGGGCAATCTAGCATGAAGAGGGCACAAGCAAAACTTCATTGCGCTCACACGACTGATGATGGTCAAGGTTCACTTTGAAATTCCTTCCGTTCGTAATGCCCTTGTGTTGTTCTTGAACGCTCCTAGTACTCGTGTGGCTGTGCTTCTATATCACTGCCATTGCTACCATTGCTTTGGTTGAAAAAGGCCTGTCGTGCCTAGCAAGCCTCCAGCCCTGCAGATTTCCAAGCAAACTCGCTACATCTACAGGAACCCCGAAACAATGCTTTTCCGATCGAGGCGCCATACTTCCCGAGGTACCGCTCGAAGATGCTTTTGTCCCCTGCTTTCAGAGAGTAGTTTAGGGTGGTTTGCCCTTGGAAAGCGTAGCTGCGATCACCGAAATACCAGAATCACACCGGCAGTAAACGCCGTGCACGAACAAGCGAGCAAGAGTAGCAACAAGCGACGACTTCCCTAAACCCAACAAGAATACCAAGGAGCCTTCCAACCTCAGCCCGAGAGCAAACAAGGTTCCCTAGCAGAAAACCCATCGGCAGCTCTGGCCTCACCCTGGCTTTTTTTCGTGAGGATTCCCTTTTGAGGTGCCAAAAGCAGGCCGCTAGGCTCCACGGCTCTGGATGGCTTTCGTTGTTGGTAGGTCCGGTGTTTGTTTTTTGGAGAAGTATCGACTCGCTTTTGTCAGAAGGAGCTCTCTCCGGGTCGTGTCGTGGGCCCGGGGATTTGAGCTAAGAGAGGGCTCCGGCCTCAGGACGGAACACCTCTCAGGATGAAGCCCCGAATCCTGCAAATTAATCCTGAAGTGCTTCAAGAAGAATGAAAAAGGCACTTTCTGAAAGGGCTTTTAGGGTTTAGGCTCTCACAACTCGGACATGCCAGGCGAGGTTCATAGGTACGAGTCGGCGTGAAACAAGTTTAGGGTTTAGCTTTAGTTTGCGGTTTTGACTAGCCTTGTTAAGGACTTCACCCGGCAGATTCGCAAACCTTCACCGCGGCGCAGGGCAGAGCTGGACATCTTCACCCCCTTTTCCTGTCACAAGAAGGGGCCTGTTTGTTTGAGAATGCCTGGGGTGTACTATCTCTCTCATCGCGTTTTGGGCTTCAGGGCTCAGCTCACAGAAGGCCGTAAGTTGTAGATCGCATCCTCCAATATCTCTTGAGCAGTTGGGCTTGTCTTTGCCACATGTTGCTGCTGTAGAAGGCTCTGCTTTCTTCTATGGGTCCCGGCTTGAGTTCGTCCACCACCCAAGCACTCGCCAGTCGCATGAAGGCTTTCAGCTTACGATGCTCGCCTTTCACACGCTTGGATGTAGACCTGATATGCGCACAGATTTGGGCGGCTGAAGGAGGAGATGCTTCGCGACAGCTGCACTGAAATTCGCCGAGCCTGCAAGACAAAAAAGCGGGGCCGAGGCGCGAGGGTCAGGCTTTAGTTGGTATTTGCTGAGGGCCAACAGCTGCCATCGAATTCAGGCTCCCCGATTGCCGCGAATCCCTCGGCCTTCAATCGGGCAACCGAAAACCTAAACCCAGGACCCTGCAACCTCAATCCAAAGCCTGCAGTAGAAGTCTTTCTTTCAATCCAGCAACCGGCAAAACTACGAAAATACCAAGTCCGATGTCGCCCTCACGACCCGCAAGTTGGTTTCTTGCCTGGACGAAAGAGTGTCTGCGGCCTAATGTGCAAATGGATTGGGCACATTCGTCGCGTCGGGCATCTGGTACGTCATATGCTGAATTACAGCCACAATTGAGATACTGACACACCGTCTTGGCAGCCGGGGCCCGATTTATGAAAACGCCGTCTCTTTGATAGTCTCGGATTCGACCACGACGCAGGCAGCTCGCTCTTTCACTCCCGCTTCCCGCGAAAATTCCGGACCGTGCGAGGGTCATCGATTCCGGGATCAACTTCCATGCTCCTAAAGATCGGGCCCAAGCTATACCCCATGTGCCTGAATAGATCCATGCTTCTAGGGAGGCCAGACGAGGCTCATCGATGGCCCTTTTGGGCACAGGAAAATTGAAGCAGGAAGCCGCCGCAACTCGCCAATGCCATAATGTCACCACTTGGAGCATCTGACCCTAAACCCAAAGCCTAGATCCCAGAGGGCTGCGGATACTTTAGAGATGAGCTGCTTCGGATCCTGCACGATGCCCCTCCGAGGAAAAGGTCGCATAGGCTGAGGGACCTTCGAAAATCGGCCCGGAGGGATGTCCTGCTACAGCAAACTTGCCGGGAGTAGTTGGTGTCTTGCCACCACCCAGCAGAGAGAGCCTAACAAAACTATGATAAGGCTTGTGGAAGGCTGCGCTCGCTGCCAGCACGCAATCACACAAAGAAGCTGTCCTCAAGCTTGCATGGGCTGGGAAACCCCCGACCGTTGCGAAGTCACCACCAAAAGCCCTACCCTGCATCTTTTTTGCACCCAGGCCTCTTACAGCATGTAGGGCTGAACCCAACGATTCTTGCAATGAGCTCGAGTCTCTCTCTCCCTCTCTCTCCCTCACGGACTCAGAAGTGGCTCGAGTCGAAAAACGCAAAAGCCGGGGCCGGGACGAGCTCTGACAGCTTGTCTAGGGGTACGTCCACCTGAATCCTGAGCGCAGGGATAAAGGGAAGACTGCGCTGTATCTTTTAGCACTCGCGCTCGACGAGGTCAGGCGAGGTTTCTACATGTTGAGGAGCAAGGTCAACTGAGAGACACCGCGAGGCTTTGTGGGCGCTGAGTTGATTGCAGTCCGAGATCGAGGACAATAGAACATGACCCAGCCCAGCCCTGAAACCCTCAACGCCATGGGACTCACCAACACGGCCTCACTCGAGGGACCACGTGCAACTTTAAGGCAGAAGAGGATCTCAATTCGCGGCAAAAAGCAATGAGAATCGCTCTCAAAAGATGGCCCAGGCGCTTCTCCGGCGGCGTGTCCTTTGGGCACCGCAAATCCTCACGGAAGTGCGAAGGTTTGGCAAGGCAAGCTTGGCAAACCGCATCATGGAAATGCAACTGAAGCTCTGCACTGAAAGGTGGGTTTTGGAGTTCAGGAGAAGGATCTTCCAATATCTTCTAGGCGACATTCTGGACTCTGGACACCCTGGTACGACTTTGGAAACTCCCACGCCAGGGCGATTGAGCTTCAGGCTGCTAGTGAGTTTAGACGCCGCAGCCCTTGTAAGTTACCACTTGAGATCTAGAGTAAGTGCAACTGTAGAGAATCGGAAGTGCCTGCATCTTCGCAATGCTCATCACCACCCTACAAGGCTTCCTCTGTCCTTGACCCGGACCTCGCCCTTCTCCCACTCGTCGGGTGCCACGAAAGCGATCTTCGCGGCTCCGACCTACCAGGCCAAGAAGAGCAAAACCTTACATTAGGATTGCCTGTTAGCATTAGCATCACTTGGACTCAAAGCAACAATACCAGAGTTCCGTTTCCTACCAAGCATGAAGCCCAAATTCACGCCTCAATCATGTCTACTACCAGTCAACCAGGACTGGTCACGGGAGCCCAGCGCTGGTTGGGAGAGCCCAGAACACGAAGCACGAAAACTAAGCAAGCTGTTAAATAATGGGATCTAATATAGGTAGCCCTCACCAAAGGACCGTAAACGCGATCCGCCTTGTCTGCGTACCGGAAAGCCTTCTTCACCCTTCGGGCGGCCTGGCCGAAAATTGTGGAGCTGTCCTTGATTCTATGCATGCGATGACACCTCGTAGCAGGCATTCAAGCCCTAAAACTCCCCGAGCAGTAGCTCATGTCATCGGAGTAGTAGCAGTCGTCGTCGTCGTCGCTGCAAGTCGTCGCGGACCCAGTTGTGGTCGTAGCGTAGTTGTGGTCGTAGTCGCAGCCGGAGCCGCAGCGCAAAGGCAATGGCAGCTTCAGGGGCAGTGGCAGTGATGGCGGTCGTGGTGGTGGTAGCGGAAGTACTAGCAGTTAGTGGTGGTAGTAGTAGTAGTA